ACCCGGCGTTGCCCGGGTGAAAAATATATTTCTTAATAACCTTACATATATACACAGATGGGCTGCTAACCCCCCCCCCCCCCCCCCCCAGCCACGATCTCCTCGGCCGCTGTGCAGTAATATGTACGGCCTATAGTGTGGTGGGGTGTCGAGGCCTAGTACCGTGCAGAGCCTCCGGCCTCGCCTAAATTGCCCACCCGGCTGAGGCTGGGTACCGGGGCCGTTACCCCCCCCCCCCCCCCCGTGCTACAATAATACTGTCTAATCGCTATAATTTTATAATCTACCGACCCTATAATAGTAATTGCACACATTGTGGTGGGGGGGAGTGAAGAGGACGTGAAACTTTGATGAATTTACCTCAGAGTCGCGTGTTAATGCGTGCGCATATTTTTTACGGGAATTAAAAATGGCGACCACCCCGCAGCGAATGCGTCGCTACCCGTTGCCAGGGGCAACCGCCGGACCAATCGTGTCTCGCAAATCCCTCACATTTCGTCCAATGAAACTGCGTATGGTCCGGCGACACAGACAGACAGACAGACACACACACAGACAGACAGACAGATTTGCGATTTTATATATATAGATTGGTATACCTTTCCTATGCTTTACACTCCTGTCATGTGTTTGATTCGTTTGTTGTCATAATGTTCTGACCTCGTGCCCCCCTTACTGGACATCTGTGATAAAATAGTTGTTACAGCTCAACGGATTCCTCCGCTATTAACAAATAGAGATCCTGATGTTGTACTGTGATGTCCGCTTTCCGTGGTGGTCGTCAACCACGTAAGGAGGGTGGTGGGGAAATTCCCCCCCAAAAAAGTGACGTTGGGAACGCCAACGGCTGGACGATCAACGCGCACCCCAAACGGGGTCGCCCGGCACAGTTAGCCAGCGAGGCTGCGCGCGTCACCAACTGGCCAGAGACGTTTGAAGCTTTTGTTGTCGTCACCCTCTGCTCCCCACCCCATGCTTCCTGACCACCCCCACCGCCCTCGCCATGCAACCTCGCCAACAACCACGACAGCCGTCCATTCGTCACCGAGTGACGGCGACTGTCACCACGGTGCCTGTGCCAGGTCACTACAACGCCCGTGTGTAACTCCGGCACACTCCACGCTAGACCACCAGTAGCAGCAGCAGCAGCAGCCTTTGTCTATCCACTGTTGGATGAAGGCCTCCCTACCCCACACCGTCTCACCCCCACCCCTGCATGGTCCGGCGCTGTTACCAGCAGTCGGATGGGAAGGATTGGACAGTCGAGACAGACTGACAGGATGGGACTGATAGAACGGGACGGATGGAAAGGACGGGACGGAACGGGGCTGGGAGGAGGGGTGGGATGGAGCAGAGTCATCGGCACACATCACGAGTTTCACCCAATTAGTCATCAGCATGAAACTAAAATACATTTTAAAAACTCAAGCGTGCGAATATTTCCGTTGCTAATTTTTTTTACGAACGAGATTAAATGCGGCTCCCCGCCCCCTCCAGCTGTTAGCGCCGCCGGCGCTTGTTTGCTTTCTGGCTCCGGCTTCCGCCGACCTCGGCCCCCGCGGTGCGATAACGGGCGAGAGGTTCCAGCCCCCCCCCCCTTCGCCCCATCCCACTCCACCCCGAGTCCAAGGTCTGCCGACGGCGAGTTGCCACGGCGACAACATCCTGTAGCTACAGAGTCGCGTGCGAGGTCGGGGAAGGTTGACGGGACGGGGAACAGCGGGGGGGGGGGGGGGGGAGCTGTCGGGTCTTCACGCAGAGACCCATAGACGCGTCACGCAGAGACCCATAGACGCGTCACGCAGAGACCCATAGACTCGTCACGCAGAGACCCATAGACTCGTCACGCAGAGACCCATAGACGCGTCACGCAGAGACCCATAGACTCGTCACGCAGAGACCCATAGACGCGTCACGTAGAGACCCATAGACGCGTCACGCAGAGACCCATAGACTCGTCACGCAGAGACCCATAGACTCGTCACGCAGAGACCCATAGACGCGTCACGCAGAGACCCATAGACTCGTCACGCAGAGACCCGTAGACTCGTCACGCAGAGACCCGTAGACTCGTCACGCAGAGACCCGTAGACGCGTCACGCAGAGACCCGTAGACGCGTCACGCAGAGACCCGTAGACGCGTCACGCAGAGACCCATAGACTCGTCACGCAGAGACCCATAGACTCGTCACGCAGAGACCCATAGACTCGTCACGCAGAGACCCATAGACTCGTCACGCAGAGACCCATAGACTCGTCACGCAGAGACCCATAGACTCGTCACGCAGAGACCCATAGACTCGTCACGCAGAGACCCATAGACTCGTCACGCAGAGACCCATAGACGCGTCACGCAGAGACCCATAGACGCGTCACGCAGAGACCCATAGACTCGTCACGCAGAGACCCATAGACGCGTCACGCAGAGACCCATAGACTCGTCATGCAGAGACCCATAGACGCGTCACGCAGAGACCCAAAGACTCGTCACGCAGAGACCCATAGACGCGTCACGCAGAGACCCATAGACTCGTCACGCAGAGACCCTTAGACGCGTCACGCAGAGACCCATAGACTCGTCACGCAGAAACCTTTAGACTCGTCACGCAGAGACCCATAGATTCTCGTAGACTTCCATCGGCTATCACCTTCTTTGAGCGGTCGCTCACAGGCGCTCGCCCACCGGCTCGGCAACATCGCGGCTGTGTACACGTCCCCTGCCTTGACCCCCCCCTCCCCACCATGTGCCTTTTTATAGGTGGACAGAGGCAGGGCCATCTCGCTATTTATATTTATTTTTCCTCCTCCACTTCTGCGCTCGTGTGAGCGTTGCCGCTCCTGCCCACGCTGCCCGTTGTACGTCGCCACTCGTCGCATTCATGTCGTCGGAAATACCCAGCGGGCCAACTTGGGAAGGCGGGGTGCAGGGAGAGATTGGAGACCGAGACCCACGGACTCTCGCAGAGACCCTTGGACTTGCTTAGACCCCATAGGTTTGCAACGAGGCCCAGAGACTTGCGGAGACCTATAGACTCGTGTGGAGAGCCATAGACATGTACGGAGATCTACCCGGCCATGGGGGCAAGCGCTTGTGGCCCAGTGGTTGGGGCTGGGGTTAGCGCGGGTGCCCAGAAACCGAGCACCACACTCACGAGGGTGGCACGAGTGATGGCCGCAAAGAAGGAAGTGCCAGTTTCCTGCCGTGATACCGCGCTTCTCGGCGCTTCTCGGCGCGTTGTAGCGCTTCTCGACGATTCTTGACGCTCCTTCCTGGCCCCCGTGGCTCACGAATATCTGCCCCCGGGCGAATAAACGCTGCGAGGCGCTGGCTGGGGGTCGTGCGTGCGCACCTGCCGCGGAAGCGCCGAACGCGCCGATTGAGTCACGAGTGAGAACGCACGCACCAAGTATTTAGTGGGGCAGGCTGACGATGATCGAGAGCGATGGGGATTTTGGTGACGATGGTAATTACGAAGGTGGTGGTGATGGCGCAATTATGACAACACGACAATGATTACGATAATGTGGTAAGAGTGGTGGGTGGACTGGCGAATAACGCTTGCGTGCGTAGGGAACAGCGATGGTGCAGTGGTAAGCGCACTGTGCCACGAACCCGGTGACCCAACTCCAAATATCTGCTAAGGCTATACGGGGAGGGATCTTTATCTTTGCTACCATATTGTGATGGATTTTGTGTGTGCTACATTGTGATTGGGTGCGAGATGTTAACGACCTCGCTGGTATACAGGAGGTCGTGGCTTCAATCCTGACCCTGACGCCTGTTATATATTCGGAGTTTGTGTGTCTGTCTCCCCGTGAACACGATAATTTTTTTCCGGTTCCTCCGGTTTTTCCCTCCACGTTTCGAATCAACAGTCATGCGTTTAGGTAATTTGGCTGATTTACATTTCCACGTGATAAGCCGCTTCCTTGGGCTATCATTTGTGTGACCAGGTCACTTCTGAAAAGGAGCTATATAGCTCAGTGGGCCTTAGCTGGTAAAATAAAAATAGTTTATTCTGTAAGCATACTTGAGTTTGTGAATGTATACGTGCACAGCCTGGCACAAGCGCCGTGGTGACGTCACAGCCACTTAGTGGCGAATGGCGGTTATTGTTGTTGTTGTATGGGTGTGCAGTAGTGCAGTGGGGTGATTGTGCTGCACTACGAACCCGGCGACCCGAGTTCCATTCCTGCGGCTCACCAGCACAAAGTGGCGAATATCTGAAGCGGTCCTGGGTCTCCCTTATGTCAACTCGACCTAAGAATCAGTACCTGGTGCTGTGTGTAAACATCGGCATTGGGGGAGTCCAGAGACGGCCAGAAGTTGGTGGTAGCCTCGCCCACGCGCCCCCTCGTGTGCCGTGCCGGCATTCATGTATGTATGGATGGATGTTGAACTTCTTTCGCACCGTACGTAGCCAACCGTGCTAATCGGAGGTGCATAGGTGGTCACAAACGGCACTTGCCCATAATAGACATATTTTGGGTTGAATCTCATAAGTAAATAAATGCGTCGTTAAACCCGCCACCACCCGACACAGCCAATTAGTCAGGTTTGTCACGTAAACAAAACGTGCCAATTAGTTACTAGTTGAGCAGGAACAGGTTGTGTGTTGGAGAGTAAACACACTACAACATTTACAATTCGAGTCCCGTGATGTTTCACTGGTAACAACAACCAGCGTCATCAGGCGACCGCCACAGAGTTGTGGAGAAATCCTCCTCCTGTTTCGCTCTTAAATAGAGTGGTGTCTCGTCACTTGTGAAGCCAATCAGGTGCAAAGGCCACTGTGAATATTGTGACTAACCAAACCTATAATAGATATACCCCCTCTGGTCTCGCAACGAATTGCCGCGTTTTGTTGAAGTGACACAACTTTACCAATTCACTGTGTCGGGTAGTGGCGGGTTGAACGACGCATTAATTTTTAATCCGACAATCTGTTGAAGGACTATAGGCGGCAAGTATTTACCTCTCTGTCCGTGTTGTCTCCCAGGTGTGTGCGCGTGCAGGTGAGGGCTTCCCCGTGTCACAATGCGGGAGTACAAGCTGGTGGTGCTGGGGTCTGGTGGAGTGGGGAAGTCCGCACTGGTGAGTCGCGTCACCCCCCCCCCCCCACCATCAACAACAACAACCGCCATTAGCCACTAAGTGGCGGTGACGTCACCACGACGCTTGTGCCAGGCCATGTGCACTTTGAGGCCACGTGAAGTGTCGAACGCCCGCTGGCAGGACCTCACGGGGCAGTCCCAGCAGGTGCCACGTGTCGACTGACTGAGATGACCGAGATGACTGGCTGATGCACCACCTGTGCCCCCTACTGTGCCAACTTGCTGTGCTTTAGCCACCCGACGCTCCGCTCTTTGTTGTGAGCGTCGCTCCTCCGCCCTTCGTTGTTGTTGGAGGGCGACTGCCTCCAACTGCCCAGTAGCGTCCTTCACGAGCCTCCTCCACAGAGGCCGATCTTAACATCATCACACACCCACGCACCCACCTCACCCGCTCACCGCCGACCTGGAAGACTCTTCACCGCGACACCGTCCGCGTGTCCCCCAGGGCGATGTGAAGCGTTGGGCGAGTGACGTTGCGCTGGGCGCCGAGGGCAGTCTTTCCGTCTTGTTCGGCACCGCACACTCCTGCAACAACCACCACCAACAAAAGACAGAAGAGATCCCCTGTATTATAGCCTTAACACACTGTTGGGGCAAGTGCTGGTTAGCGAGTAGCAACTATCAAGGCTGGAATGCTACACGAGGGGGTGGGTGGCCAGCACCACGCCCGACCGCCTTTGTTTCCCCGGTGGTGATGTTTCGACACATCACCAGGTATTAATTTGAGGCTGAGTCGACCTAGGGGAGACCCAGGACCGGTTCAGATAACCGTCACTGGTGTTGGCCATGAGCGGGAATCGAACTCGGGTCGTTGCGTTCGTAGCGCAGGGCGCTAACCACTACACCACCGCTCCCCCCCCACCACCACCAACACACACACACACACGTGCGCGATGGTCCATGAAGCCGCGCCGTGTGGGGGTTATCCACGTTTGCGTGCCGGGGGGGAGCCAGGGACATCCCAGCACAAGCGACGTTGAGTTTCCGTGACGCGTGTGCCAAGCAGCTGGTGATTGACGTTGTGGAAGACCCGGTGAGGACGACAGTGGCGTTGACGACGATGATGGTCAGGGCTGGATTAAGTTACGGGAGGCAGGGGGGCCCAGGATGTTTCTGTGTTTTTTGGGGAGTGGGGGGAGCTCCTCTGTATATTCAGTTCCTTGCCTTCACTGTTTTTTACCACTAGCACCACCAGCCATTGAACATATTTTTTTTATTTTACCAGGTAAGGCCCCACTGAGCTGTATGATAGCTCATGAAATGGCTTATCACGTGGACATTTATAGCAGCCAAATTCTCTAAACACAGTCTCTGGGTCTCTGCGAGAGGAGTCCATGGGTCTCGGTCTCCAGTCTCTCTCTGGACCTCGTCTTCTGAGTGCCCGCCGGGAATTTGCCGACGACGAGAACGCGACGAGTGGCGACGTACAAAACTAATCGCTTCGCCGGTGCATGGGCAGCCCGGGGAGCAGTCTTGCGCGATCGCGGTGGCAAAGAGAGGAGGGTCACACGTTTGGTGCACAGCGGCCCTTCGCTGGCTGCGCGTGCGACGGTAGGATGTACGTGCCGCCGTTAAAATTGAATCGTCGGCGCGTACATTACAAGCTCTACTTCACACGCGCCGCATCGCACAAAAACCAAGGGGGACTTGCGCCAAATGTTCATTAGACGTTGTCTTGGCATTCGCCGGCACGTTTCTCCGCGCGTTAATTGGGTCGTTGTTGGTTGTCGTTCTTGTTAAGTCTCTAGGTCTGTAGGGCAATTCTGCTGCTTGTTGGAAACCGTGGCGGGCGCCTGCCGCAGGATTTGCGATAAATGTGAAACGGCGTACGACAGGCGTCGCCGTTGCAAACATCAAACGATGATATAGCGGTGGCTCTCTGGGTGTGTGTGTGGGGTGGAAGGGCTGGTGGGGGGCTTGGGGGGTTGAGGGGTCGGGTGGCTTACCGCTGTAGACGGGAGGGGGGGGGAATCCATGGAGGTTTTTTGGGTTAGATCACGTTAATGTGTCGTTTAAACCCGCAACCACCTTGACACAGCCAACCCTTACTGGTTGGCTGTGTCGGGTGGCAGGAGCCAAATTCACGTTGTTAAGTATTTGGCTACTGCCATGAATTCCCACGTAATGATAAGCCACGACGTGGGGCTATTGAAATTCTGAACAAGAGCTACACAGCCCAGTGTGTGGGGCCTTCACCTGGTAAATAAAAAACGTAGTTTCTCTCCTGGATAAAATCAGTAAAATGTTAGTTCAAGCATGTGAAATTTTTGTGGTCTGTTCACACGGCAAATCGTACTGTCGGAACACCGCCACCCACGGCCGCGCCCGGGGTACCCAGAAAAACTTTGGCGTCGGTAATTTGAGAGCCGGTCGTTCCGTTGCGGCCGGGAGCGTTCCCCACCACCCCTCGGGTTAGGCTCCTCCACCGCCGCAGTTTTCCTCGGTGGAGAGATTACGTTTCTGTTGTTGTTGCTGCTGCTTTAAACTCGGCCTGAAATAAAATTTCAAGACGGGGAGCGGTGGTGGTTGGGGTTGGAGCGTACCTTGCCTTTCATCCACGCAGCTCCTCGGTGGCGAGATGTTAACCACCTCGCCTGGTATACAGGAGGTCGTGGGTCGAACCCGACCCTGGCGCCTGCTGTATATTTGGAGTTTGCGTTAATTTTTCTCGTAGTCCTCCGGTTTTCCGCTCCACATTTAGAATCGACTAAATGCATTTTGAACATTTGGCTGCTATAAATTTGCACTTGATGATGATAAGCCACTTCATTGAGTTATCATTTGTAATGGCCAGATAGCTTCTGCAAAGAGGTACATAACAGCTCAGTAGGGTCTTAACAGGTAAACTAAAAATCGTTTTTAGTGTGGTGGAATGCCCCCCTCCCTTACACTATTGAAGTCCCTTTATTTATTTTTATTTACTTTGGTCTTTAATCAGTTGACCTTGCTTCGGGTGCACTATGTCTTGTGAGGGCGCAGGATATTTATATTTTTTGCTGTTGTCTTTCATGGCCGGTCAGAATCTGTATTTATGCTGCAGGAGGGATCTGAGCTATAAAGCTCACAGATGTCCACTAGGGGCACAGGGTTAGAACGTGACAACAACAAAAAGCACGATAGGAGGGCACAGTACAAGAAAGGTAAACAAATCGCCCACATACAAATACAACCAAACCATCCCCATCCTACCAGGCAAAGCCCACGAACGATACTGTTACAAATTAATGATCACACGGGGGTGAAATGCTCGCGCTGTTCTGTTGTGCCTAACATTTGCACACCTTTTCCCTGTGTTATCCGCAGACGGTACAGTTCGTGCAAGGAATATTTGTGGAAAAGTACGATCCCACCATCGAAGACTCCTACCGGAAGGTGTGGTGGTTTGTTGTTACACGCTTTCATTCAACTCGTTCTGTCTGCTGTTGTTGTCGTTGTTGTATCCTCAAATCTTGTAACTTTAACCCACTTCCCAATGTGGTATCGACTGCAAACTTGGTATACTTATGTCATACTGATGACAATACTATATTCTATCATAAAAAAAACATGTTTTTAAACATTCTTTTTTATATGTGATGTTTCGGCTTGGGTCTAATTGTCTACGGTCAACTGACGTTGGCTGTAATTGGCCACGGCCCCCTTACGTTGTGGCAAGCTTCGGGGCCACTTCCTGGAGTCGTGGAGTTCTTCCATTACTAGCGTGTTTTTTAAAAAAGTTTTTTAAAAATATTATTTTCTTTTTTTTACACCAGCCGCGTGATCGTTCCATTTGTAGTTTCCCTTGGGTTAGATCGCCGCCACGACCCGACAGCCAAATTAGTTGTTAGGTTGTTTGACGCAAGCAGAACGTGCCGATTAATTGCCGCTTCATGGGCTCATTGTAAATGTTGTGCTGTGGGTTTTACTCTCCAACACGCAGCCGTGTGCTGTGCGAGTAGCGAATTGGCCACGTTTTGTTTACACGACTCAAACTTACGTGATTTGAAGCTTTCGTGACTGCAGGAATCCATACTCTTTGGTTCTTACGGCAAAGTCACGTTGGTAGAAAAATAAAATAAAACAAAATAAAAATTTTCATGACGTTTCGATAAATGAATAACCTCTTGTAACAGCTCTCTCGCTGGTTCAGCACTTCCACAGCTGGATTATTTTTTCCACCTGAGGACGACCGCTTGTGTTGCGATCGAAACGTCGTGATATATAATTTCTTATTTTATTTCTCTACCTACTTGACTTTACCGAATGAACCGAAGAGTATACAACCTTGCTTAATTGGCCATGTATCGGGGTGGCCGTGGCGGGTTTAACGACTCGTTTGTATTCGCGTCACCTAACCAAAAACAAACCCTCATGGTGCATCATATTGGTCGTGAAAGCCCTCCCACTACTACGTGCCAAACCGTTTCATTCGTCCGCCCTTTCGTTTGGTTGTGCCCGTCAATTGTTTGTTCATTTTGACAACAACAAAAACAACAACCGCCATTCGCCACTAAGTGGTGGTGACGTCACCACGACACTTCTGCCAGGCCATTCTGACGCCCCCCGTATATTCTGCCGTGTGATAATTAGCAGGCCTCCCGCGGAGTCGTCTCGCTCGTCGGGTTTGTATCCGCGTTGGCGGGGGGGGGGGGGGTTGGGGGGGAGGGCGGCGTGCTGAAATCCACCCGTGTGCTTGGGGCGGACTTATTACTCCCTTGCGAGGTTTCTCCGCCATCCAGCAGTGGACTGAGCGTGGCTCTCTGACGATGATGTTAGGACCAAGTGTCAGGAGGATATGCTGCCACTTGAGTTGAGGCTGTGGTTGACCGTCGATTATCCGGCTGATTCCAACGTTACCCGGCGGTCCCGGGCCTATCCGGCAAAACCGCTCCAAAGGCTGTAACCAGTCCGGCTATCGGCACCGCGTGTGTTCCGAAACACAAAGTAGCTACGCTTGATTTCACTGTCAAATATTATATACACTACATTATACACTGCATGCAAATTAAACAAGGAAAATACTGCACGCAGAGGCTTCGAGATCGGAGTGGTAAGTACGGTGCAGTAATTACAGTAACCTATTACAGTAGGCTGTTTTTGTCTTTTTGTATGTTTATCCGTGCCGATTTCACACAGTAAACACATTTAAAACACTAATACATATAAACACCCCCGAAGCAGCTGGACAATCTAGTCTACTCTCTTGTTAACCTAAACCGCCTCGCCCCTAAACCCCCTCGCCCCTAAACCGCCTCGCCCTCAAATCCCCTCGCCCTCAAACCCCCTCGCCCCTAAACCCCCTCGCCCCTAAACCCCCTCGCCCCTAAACCCCCTCGCCCCTAAACCCCCTCGCCCCTAAACCCCCTCGCCCCTAAACCGCCTCGCCCCTATAACCCCCTCGCCCCTATAACCCCCTCGCCCCTAAACCCCCTCGCCCCTAAACCCCCTCGCCCTCAAACCCCCTCGCCCCTAAACCGCCTCGCCCCTAAACCACCTAGCCCCTAAACCCCCTCGCCCTCAAACCCCCTCGCCCCTAAACCGCCTCGCCCCTAAACCACCTCGCCCCTAAACCCCCTCGCCCCTAAACCGCCTCGCCCCTAAACCGCCTCGCCCCTAAACCCCCTCGCCCCTAAACCCCCTCGCCCCTAAACCCCCTCGCCCCTAAACCCCCTCGCCCTCAAACCCCCTCGCCCTCAAACCCCCTCGCCCCTAAACCCCCTCGCCCTCAAACCCCCTCGCCCTCAAATCCCCTCGCCCCTAAACCCCCTCGCCCCTAAACTCCCTAGCCCCTAAACCAGGGGCGGTTTCTTCATTAGGGCGATTGGGCGACGCACCACCAATGTCATTGAACCACAGAGTCACGCTAGCCGTCACTGCCAGCCTCTGGATATAGTCTAATCAGCGTCATGTCACGTTCTGTGGAGTACCGCCTCTTTTGGGGCGATTTCACTACGGCTGAGAATCGCCCCGAGTGGCTCCATAGACTTACATTCAAAGATGTTTTTTTCGAACGGGGGCGCTCCAATGCATTCTCTATGGCTCCGGGAGGGCAAGCCCTAACGTGCTTACGTCATCATACGTGCTTACGTCATCATACGTAAGCACGTTTCATCCAGCAATATAATTTATCGCTACCTAGTGGAATCTTTAATAAAATAAACTTGAGTGGTTTGTTTTAATAGTGAGTATATAAACAAACAAGATGTATTATTTGTTTCTTTCGGTTAAGTCACGTCTAAAGATAAAATAATAAATTAAATTAAATAATAGAATACGACGTTTCGATTGCAACACAAGCAATCATCATCAGGTATAATGAAATAGCGACATAAAATCTAACCAGAAAACTATAGACAGACATATTAGCAGACAGATATCACCAAGATACATAGAGAGAGCAACACAGGTAACAGAGAGAGATGGTCGTCTCTGTGGGGTGGCCTTAAATAGACAGAGGAGGGCGGACGCAGAGAGAGGGAGGGGGGGTTAGAGAAAAAATTAGCATATCAATGAGTGGTCAACAGACGTGCTGCAAGTGCGATGACACGGCAAGCAAGCCTGAAAATCAGGAGAAGGACACACTAAAATTAAATAACCTAGTAAAATATCGAAATGTAATGTAATACAACACAGAGTGTCGGTCAACACACAATTAACGCATAGCCTGGTTGATTACGTATTTCAAAGATTGCTAAGTTAGAATTTAAGTGTGAACATTCCAAAGAGAGGACACAGGCAGAGAGAACAAGTAGTCAGAGAGAGAGATAAAAGAAGATAAGTTTAAAACTTCCCCGTAGAAGTGGTTCATCTTAATTTTGGAACTTTCGTGACTGCAGGAATTATTATTTGTTTCTTTCGGTTTAGACGTGACTTAACCGAAAGAAACAAATAATAATTCCTGCAGTCACGAAAGTTCTAAAATTAAAACAAGATGTATTGTAAGAGTCACTTTATTTTTCATTAATATTAAAGAAGTGAAGTTGCCTTTACATGCTTAAGCTGTTAATTTATTCATTGCATGGGTGGACCTTATCCTTATCAATCATCCAGACATTTGCCCCCCCTGAGAGATTTTGCAGGAGCCGCCACTGCCCTAAACCCCCTCGCCCCTAAACCCCCTCGCCCCTAAACCCCCTCGCCACTAAACCCCCTCGCCCTCAAACCCCCTCGCCCTCAAATCCCCTCGCCCCTAAACCCCCTCGCCCCTAAACCCCCTCGCCCCTAAACCCCCTCGCCCCTAAACCACCTCGCCCCTAAACCCCCTCGCCCCTAAACCCCCTCGCCACTAAACCCCCTCGCCCTCAAACCCCCTCGCCCTCAAATCCCCTCGCCCCTAAACCCCCTCGCCCCTAAACCCCCTAGCCCCTAAACCACCTCGCCCCTAAACCCCCCTCGCCCCTAAACTCCCTAGCCCCTAAACCCCCTCGCCCCTAAACCCCCTCGCCCCTAAACCCCCTCGCCCCTAAACCGCCTCGCCCCTAAACCGCCTCGCCCTGAAACGATTCGCCCTGAAACCTCCACCCTGGATTAGTTTAAATTTCCTTCGAGCGTGACTCGGCAGGTCTAGAGCCAAGATGCGATAGAAGTTGGGGCTACTCTATAAACACGCCACCATCACCACCACAAGCCGTGGTCTCTCCACTGCTGGCCACATCACCATCACCCCGAGCCACGCGCTCGACACTGCTTGCCACACCATCACCCCGAGCCACGCGCTCGACACTGCTTGCCACACCATCACCACCACGTGCCATGCTCTCTCCACTGCTGGCCACATCATCGTCAACACCATCACGTGCCCGCTGCTGGATATACTTACGACTTGCGGTCACCACACACGAGGAGAGAGGAAGGAAGGGGGGAGTTAGAGGGAGGACGAGGGGGCGAGGGGGGGAGTAGGAGGGAGGATGAGGGAGGGAGGGAGGGGGAGGGCGAGGGGGGATGAGGGAGGAGCTCTCACCGGTGGATCTCAGTGAGGCCACTTGCCTGGAGTGATTTGCGCGGGGGAGTCGGCAACCCCCCCCCCCCCCCCCGTTGCCTTCGCCGGCTCTGCCGTGCCGAGTTCCATGCGGGCGCCATTCCGCCCGGCTGGATGGGGGGTAGGAGCGTTTACCCCCGAGGCTGACAACAATTTAAAGTTTTTTTTTTCGTTTGAGCGGCACATTAGCACCGCTGTAATCCCCTTTAATTACGCTGGGGATCGCCGATTATTATTTTTAAACCCCTTGTTCCCCCACGTCGCGTCTGCAAGTTGAACAGTGCGGGGTCCCCCCCCAGCTCAGCCGCTGAATCTCGGAACGCACGCCAGCGGCTCGGCGTAAATTAAATTAGTGGTTTTTGTAGCGCCGTGCCGTCGCTTTAAGGTGGCGCACAGCAACGCACGTTGCGGAATCCCCCCCTCCACGGGGGAATAAAACCCGAAGGTTTTATTTTTAATAAAAAAAAATACAAAGTCAACTGTGGTGGACGGCATCGGAAAAGGGGGGGGGGGGCGGGAAGGGGTTGATGGCGCGCTCCGAACGGGGGGGGGGGGGGCGGGGGGGGTGGGTCGGGGCCGCCCCCCAACCACTTCCCCCCACCCACCTCCCCCCCCCCCCTGGCCACCGTGAAGGAAGCATGGCGTTTGACTGGGCCCCCCTTGTGCGTGGGGAGGGTTCACAATTTCACAATGGCCTACCCCCCCCGGGGGACAAGTAGTGGGGGAGGGGGGGTAACAGGAATCCCGCGGAGTCGTCTCGCTCCGTGCTCGTGGGGGTGGAGTTATTTTCAAGTTGCGAACGTCGTCGCTGTTGACAATCCGCGGCGCGCGTGTGCGCTGTGCCCCCTGCAGCTCCGTTACACTATTTAGCCCCCCCCCCCGGCAAGAGCCCCATCGGGGGGGTGGGGGGCGTTGTGTAAATGTATCCCTGTCAGCCGCGAGCCATCGCAGTTTAGCCTCGCCCCAAAGTGGGACGCGCCGAGAGAGATGCGCCGAGAGACGCGCCGAGAGAGACGCGCCGGTGCCGGCTTTTGGGGGATTCTAAGAAAGCTGTGTGCCAGCCGAGCGCCGGGGTCACAGCTGAGCAGTGCCCCGTCCCCAGGCATGGGCAGTAACGGGGCCCTTGACCGTCCCTCCCCGCCATGTGCGTGTGCGTGCATGTGTGTGCGTTGCGCGGGCTTGGGTGTGTGTGTGCTTGCGTGCGTGTGCCATCCTCGTGCCATACGAATGTCGCAATTTCCAAAGTCGCGAGAGAGAGAATGCGCTCTGCTGATCGCAGCCCTCGGCCCGGCGGTGAACATTGCACGGACCTGTGCAATTTCCCACCCACAACGTTGAGACTTTCCCGCTAAGTAGTACTTGGTTTTATCGACCCAGGAGAGAGAGCGATGATGGTTGGCCGAGTAAATGCCGCCACACATCGCCCCCCACCCCCCTCACATTCGGTTGTGAACCCGCGACCTTTCTCTTGCCAGCCGCTCCGTCTTCCGCCACCGAGCCACCCCTGTGCACATCGTATGTTGAACTTCTTTCGCACCGTACGAGGACAACAAACTAAACACACGCAAAAAAGAAGTGAGTTTGTCAATCTAGATGATGATTTGATGATGATTTGAAAGTGCACGGCTCCATTGGCCTTTCATCATATCGATAGGGATGAGCTTTCCAGATGGCCGCACAAGCGCGTCCGCAAGCGCCGCGCGACGCAGCGGCCGTCTTTGCGCCGTCAGGGTTGCGGCGACGAGCAAACGTCGTCCTCGGTGCTCCCCGAACGCTTTGAAACTCTTCCGACCCCGGTTGAAAACACTCATCTTACTCCTCTTCGCTAAGGCCGCAACAAGCCCCACGCCGTGCCGGTCGGTCTCTAGCGGCCTTCTCTGCTCCACCGCAACGCAGGCGGCCCCCCCCCCCCCCCCCCCCCCCATGGCCTCGGGTTGGTCTTGAGCGGTGCGTCGCCAGGAGGCCTTCGGCCTGCCCCCCGTGCTCTTTCCCCTCGTGGTGTCCCCCCCCCCCCCCACCGTAGGGCGGCCTTCGCTGTGGGACTCGGGTTCCATTCTCAGCGCGTGTACAGGTCCCGGTTTGAAATCTTGTTTGGCTGGAAGATGTGACAGATTTTCCTCAGGGAGTTGTTGTGGAAAGTTGATAGGGACTTCATGTCCATCTTAGGTTGTAACACGTAAAAAACAACCCAAAGACTTGAAAACCGTTGTGAGGAAGGAATAGTCGGCTAAGTGACGACCGTTATCACTCAGCCCCCCCCCCCCCCCCTCGTGTTGCTCTGCGGTGGCTAGGAGATGTTAACCACCTCGCCTGGTCTACAGGAGGTCGTGGGTTCGATCCCGACCCTGACGCCTGCTGCTGTATATTTGGAGTTTGCGTCCCTCTCTCTTCCCGTCATCGCGGGGATTTTGCTCCGGTTCCTCCGGGTTTTCCCCTCCACATTTAGACCACGATATGGAAGTCCGCGTCTTCCGCCGATAGAACTCCGTCCGAGCGACCACATGGGCGGGCTGGTCGGCCTGCGAGTTCCCCTTTTGAGGCCGAGCCGACCTAGGGGTGGCCTGGTTCACACGCGCGGCCAAGGCCCGTCGGTGTGTCGGTTAACTCCAGTTGTTAGCAACTCCTGTTGGCAACTGCGGTTGGCAACTCTCGTAAGCAACTTCCATCGGCAATGCCGTTTGGCAACTCCCGTTGGCAACTCCCATTTGGCAACGCCCTGGCGTAGCCGCCCCGCGACGTGGTTTGCCAGGCGTGAGTCGGATGAGGCTGCCCCCCCCCCGGTTCTCCGTGTGTACGCGACGCTCGCCGGACGGGCGAGTGACGAGTTTGGACGGCTGCCTGGGGGGAGGGGGGAGGGGGCGGGGGGGTGGGGGAGTCCTCGCTGGCCCCGAGCGGTGTGGGCTGGGCGCTTCGAGGGAACCGAGCGGGGTTGGAAACGCCGCTCCTAGCCGGGGGCAAAACACGGAAACACAAATAGTGCCCGGAGTGGTTGGGCGGTATGGCGGTGGGGGGTCGCGAGATGAGAGGAAGGGGGCGGACATTGGCGTGAGCGGACACGTGTTGGTGGCGTGCCGCGCGGTGCCGGCGCGCAGACCATGCCAAGATTGCTCTCGCCCACTTTGTTGTTAGTATTGTTGGTGAGCGAGGGCCGTGCGTGTGTGCGTCGCCACTGGGGAGACAAAGGCGGCCGGGCGTGGTGCTGGCCACCCAACCCCCTCTTGTGTCGTGCCCGTCTTCATAGGTGCTGCTCGCTAACAGCACTTGCCCCGACAGTCTGTTAAGGTTATACAGGGAATCTTTGTCTTTGCTTTTTTGTGACTAAAGTGAGTGAATCTGTGTCTCTCTCTCCCCCTCCTCTCGCCCAGCAAGTGGAAGTGGATGGATCACAGTGCATGCTGGAGATCCTGGATACAGCCGGCACAGTCAGTGCTGCACCACATTGCACGCACACACACGGGTCTCCAATCATCACACACACGCACGCACGCCTCCAATCATCCCACACACGCCTACAATACACGCCCACCTGCATCGCCTACAATCATCTCACAGCTTAACACCTGTACGGCCATATGGCTCGGCGCACGAGCAGGAGTTTAAACCCTGGGGGGGTAAGGATTGACTCGGCCCATCATACTTCCCTCTGGGGTCGACTAAAATGAGTACCACAGTTGTGGGGAAGTAAACAACGGTTGTCCTATGGACAGACTAGCCCCCTCCCCCCCACCATGGCAATATGGAATTTCCACCACTCCAGGAATTTGTGTAAATGCCCTTGCAGCCGCGCCCGTTATGTACACCGCATTTGCACACACATGCTCGCACACAAGCTCGCACACACGCACGCTCACACACACTCTCACACGCGCTCACACACGCTCACACACGCTCACACACACGCTCACACGCACGCTCACACGCACGCTCACATGCGCTCACACACGCTCGCACACACGCTCGCACACACGCGCACACACACGCGTGGTTATTTACAGCTGTGCACTCCCACACACAATGGCATTCATAGCCGAACACACAGCCCCGCATTGTGTGCGCACACACAAAGCACACACACAGTCACACATGCTTCAGCGTAGCTCTAAGCGCGGAGACAAAGGTCCCCCGTGTAGCCTCGGGGCAAGTGCGGCGAGTGAGCAGCGCCCCCCTGAAGGCCTTCACGGCACTCGAGGGGAGTGGTGTGGCCAGAATCGGCACGCGATGGGGTGGTGTGGCCGCAACCACATCCTTGAAGCTGCCTTTGGCTCCCCCGGTGCTGACGCTTACTCACCGCACCGGGTGCTCGTATGAGGTTGAGTCGACCGTGGGATGCCCAAGACCCGGTACAGGTAATCGTCAGCGGTGTTGGCTGTGAGCGGGAGTCAAACTGTTGAGAAGGCGGCCGCGAGAGTGGCAGCTTTGTTGGGGAATGTGTTGGTGAGCGCGTGCACGCGTGTTGGTGAGCGCGCGTTTTGGGGAGTGCGTGCTTGCGTGTGTGCTCTTGAGCGTGTCGATGAGGGTGTGTGCGTGTTGTGTGAGCGTGCTGGTGAGCGTGTTGTGTGAGCCTGCTGGTGAGCGTGCTGGTGAGCGTGTCGGTGAGCCTGCTGGTGAGCGTGTCGGTGAGGGTGTGTGCGTGTTGTGTGAGCCTGCTGGTGAGCGTGTCGGTGAGCCTGCTGGTGAGCGTGTCGGTGAGCCTGCTGGTGAGCGTGCTGGTGAGCGTGCTGGTGAGCGTGTCGGTGAGCCTGCTGGTGAGCGTGCTGGTGAGCGTGCTGGTGAGCGTGCTGGTGAGCGTGTCGGTGAGCGTGTCGGTGAGCGTGTGCGCGGGCTCGTGTCTCGGTGGGAACGACGTGCAGGAGCAGTTCACGGCGATGCGGGACCTGTACATGAAGAACGGCCAGGGCTTCGTGCTGGTCTACTCCATCACGGCGCAGTCCACCTTCAACGACCTGCAGGACCTGCGCGAGCAGATCCTGCGCGTCAAGGACACGGACGACGTGAGCTCCCCCCCCTCGCCCCCCCCTCGCCCCACCCCCCCCTCGCCTTCCTGCTCGCAAGTCTCCCCTTGTGCCCCTGTCAAGCCCGAAGTGAAACGGCTTGTAACCGAGTTGTAATAAAGGATCTTGTTTAATAATAACCACGATGTCGATTGACGTTGGTGATGACGGAAGAGTGCTAGCATCAATAAATGGATCTTGTAGTACGCACGAAATTATCTTAAATCGAAACTACTGAAGTGAAATAAACCATGGAGGAGCCAGCGTCACGCACGGCCTCGCGAGCCGTGGGTGGACAGAGGTCGATCATCTTCTTTCCCTTATGTCCGTTTGGACGACTTGCTCGGGGGGACGTCCACCGGCTCGCTCGACTGTCCATTCGCTCACCTGTTCACTCGCTCGCACATCCGCTCACTTACTTGTTCGTTCACTCCCTTGCCTATCCACTCGCGCGTCCATCTCAGCGCTTGCTCGCACTCTTACCTGTTCACTCGTTCGCCCATCCAATCACCCACTCACTCGCTCGCACTCTTAACTGTTCACTCGCTCGCCCATCCAATCACCCGCTCGCTCGCTTACATTCTTACCTGTCCACTCGCTCGCCCATCCAATCACCCACTCACTCGCTCACACTCTTACCTGTTCACTCGCTCGCCCATCCAATCACCCACTCACTCGCTCGCACTCTTAACTGTTCACTCGCTCGCCCATCCAATCACCCACTCACTCGCTCACACTCTTACCTGTTCACTTGCTCGCCCATCCAATCACCCACTCACTCGCTCGCACTCTTAACTGTTCACTCGCTCGCCCATCCAATCACCCACTCGCTCGCTCACATTCTTACCTGTCCACTCGCTCGCCCATCCAATCACCCACTCGCTCGCTCACACTCTTACCTGTTCACTCGCTCGCCCATCCAATCACCCACTCACTCGCTCGCACTCTTAACTGTTCACTCGCTCGCCCATCCAATCACCCACTCGCTCGCTCACATTCTTACCTGTCCACTCGCTCGCCCATCCAATCACCCGCTCGCTCGCACTCTTACCTGTCCACTCGCTCGCCCATCCAATCACCCACCCACTCGCTCGCTCACACTCTTACCTGTCCACTCGCTCGCCCATCCAATCACCCACCCACTCGCTCGCTCGCACTCTTACCTGTCCACTCGCGTGTCCATCTGCCCGCTCACTCCCTTACCTATCCAGTGGTTCACTCTCTTACCTGTCCACCCGCTTGTCCATCTGCCCGCTCACTCCCTTACCTATCCAGTGGTTCACTCTCTTACCTGTCCACCCGCTTGTCCATCTGCCCGCTCACTCCCTTACCTATCCAGTGGTTCACTCTCTTACCTGTCCACCCGCTTGTCCATCTGCCCGCTCACTCCCTTACCTATCCAGTGGTTCACTCTCTTACCTGTCCACCCGCTTGTCCCGCTGCCCCTCCTAGGTGCCCATGATCCTGGTGGGGAACAAATGTGACCTGGAGGACGAGCGCGTGGTGGGCCGCGAGCAGGGGCAGAACCTGGCGCGCCAGTGGCAGAGCTGCGCCTTTCTGGAGGCCTCCGCCAAGTCCAAAATCAACGTCAACGAGGTGGGCACCCCCCCCACCTCCCCCCCCCCACCTCCACACCCCCCCCCCACCTCCACACCCCCACCGCACCTCCACACCCCCACCCCCGACCCCTCACACGCGTCGATTTCTCTGGGTGCTTCGATATCCTTTCACGTGGGGGAGAGGGTTTGGGCAACCCCGCGGTGGCCAGATGTCGACATGATCATCATCATCATCGTCGTTGTTGTTGTTTGAGGAGGAAATCACTTTGACGTTTTATCACCGAATACTTCCGAGTATTAAGTACAGCCTCTCCCCCTGCGGTTCCCCCGCCCTCCTTTCGTCCTCTACCTCCTCATCCTCCTCCACCCTCCTCCTCCACCCTCCTCCCCCCTCCTCCCCCCTCCTCCTCCGTCTTCTCTCACGCTCCCTTTCTCTCCCTCCCACCCTCCCCTGACCCCCCCCCCCGCCGTAGATCTTCTACGACCTGGTGAGGCAGATCAACAGGAGAGCGCCGCCTGAGAAGAGGAAGGCGAAGAAGAAGCAGTCGTGCACGCTGCTGTGAGACGCTGTCGGCCACCACCGCCGTCAATCCCCACCGCCAACAACGCCGCCGCCACCAACACCGCCGCCGCCACCACCACCACCGCCACCTTTTTTCTATTGCGCCTTGGGGGGTCCCGGCGTGGGGTCCTCCGTCGCGCTCGGCGTTTCGCGAGGAGGGAAACGTCCCCCCGATCCGATCCCAACCTACCAACCCGCCTACCGTCTGCGCACCGCCCGTTTTTGTCCGTCGGTCGCCCCCCCCCCCGCGGCCGCTACCCCCCCCCCCCACCCCCCCCCACCGGCGTCTGTCGGAAACTCGTGCGGAGACGAAAGCGACGCCGGCGCTGTCCCTCACCGCGACCGACTTCCCCGCGTTCGAGAGCCGAGCGCCCACCCACGCCTCGCCACGCAACCAATTACCGAGTCACGACGCCGACACCTTTACGACGTTCAGCCGGCGGGAGGGGGGGGGGGGTGGTGGGGGGGCTGCCGTGGAGGGGGGGGGGGCCCTTTTGTGAAGGCTGCGGAATCGGTCCACCGGGAAAAAAAAAGGAAAAAAATTACAAAAAAAAATTGAAGTGGGAAAAAGATGAGTGCCCCCCCCCCCCCCACACAGCCCCCACCCCCCTTCCCTGGTTATTTCTTTTGTCTTTTTCTGTCCCTTTGTTATCCCTCCGGCGTGTGTGTGTGTTTCGAACGGTCCGTGTGTTGCACGTGAGAGTTGGTTAACCCTCCGCCCCGCTTCGCCGTGCGATCGACAGGTAGGCGGCTGGCCAGGTGCGCGTGCGTGCGTGTTTGTGTGCCCGAGTGTGCACGCGCGTGCGCTCCGTGTGCGTTGTGCGTGCGAGCTAGTGCGTCGGTGTGCACGCCAGTGCGTTCGCGTCGGTGTGCACGCGCCTGCGTTCTCTGTGCGTGCGCAAGCTATGGCATGAGTGTGCACGCTCGTGTGTTCGCGTGCGAGCTTGTGCGTGCGAGCTAGCGTGTGAATGTGCACGCTAGTGCGTTGTGTGTGTGTGTGCACGAGTGTGCGTTCGCGCGCGAGTTTGCGTGCGAGTGCGAGCTAGTGCATCAGTGTGCGAGCTAGTGCATCAGTGTGCGAGCTAGTGCATCAGTGTGCGAGCTAGTGCATCAGTGTGCGAGCTAGTGCATCAGTGTGCGAGCTAGTGCATCAGTGTGCGAGCTAGTGCATCAGTGTGCGAGCTAGTGCATCAGTGTGCGAGCTAGTGCATCAGTGTGCGAGCTAGTGCATCAGTGTGCGAGCTAGTGCATCAGTGTGCACGCGCGTGCGTTCCGTGTGTGCGTTGTTCTGTGTGCGAGCGAGTGAGCGACTTCTGCTGTCTGGAGCTTCTGTCGCCCTCCTCTCATCCATCCCCAAGCCGTGACAGATGCTCGCTCCTCCTCCTACTCACGCACCTCCTCCTCCTCACCCTCCTCCTCACCCTCCTCCTCACCCTCCTCACCCTCCTCACGCACCCCACTCCCCACTGCCCCCTGCCCCGCTCTGACAGTCGCCGAGCAAGCGAGCGGCACAGCGCCACTCGACAGCGCAGGCAGGCGCCCAACTAACACTCTCCCCGTTTAACCTGTGGCTCCCGTACTAATATTTGTACAGAGACTTTTGCATACGACCCGTCTCTTCAGACTTTATAAATACTGTATTGTCATTTTTTTTTCCTCTCCATTATTTTTTTGTATTTTACTGTAAAGAATAAAAAAAAGTGGTGGCTCAGGAGCTGAGACTTCGTAAAAAAAGAACAGAAAATAACGGGGAGGGGGGGGAGGGTGAGGGGGCAGGTGGGGGCTGGGTGGCGCTCCCCCCCTTGCCCCTACCTGTTCTATTCTTCTCCAGCTGCACGATGCATTTCGCCCGGTTCTCTGCGCTCGCCGCCGATTAACCCCCCGGCCTCCACCGCCGGCCCCCCGTCTCCAAACGACTTCTTCCCCCCCCCCCCCGCCGCCACTCCCCCCGGCCCCGCTCCTGAACTCCCATCAAATGTTGGGGGGGGGCGCGGAACACGAAAACTGAGTTGTCAACTCGCCGTTTTTTTTTACCCAGAGGGGCGATTCGTGAGCGGAGCCACCGGGGGAACATCGTCCTGGCCGCTGCCGCCGCCGCCGGGACTGCGTTCGATTATTGTTTGTGGGCGCACGAGTGATTGTTTTTGGGGGGTTTTTTTGTTCTTTCTCTTTGGCGGGTTCCGTTGGCAGCCAGAGGAGAGCCGGGGGGGGGGGGGGGACCTTGACGGCGCCAGAGGTTTGTTGGGGCTAGAGTCCGGCGGTGCCAAAATCCCCAGACCGCAGCTCTCCCTCTCTCTCCCTCTCTCACTCGCTCGCTGATGTGGCCCCGGTCCCCCGGCACCGCTTTGCGTTGTGAGACGGAGGCACCCGTCTGTCCGGGCGGATGGCCCGGCAGGCGGGCGGGCTGGTGAGACGGGGAGGGAGATGCGGTTTTGGTGGTCGACCGTTCTGTCAGTTGATTGGTCGGTCGCCCGGTCTGACGATTGATTGATTGGTCAGTCGGCCGGTTGATTGATCACTCTGCCGGGCAGTCAGTTGATTGGTCAGTCGGCCGATGCGGTCATTTGATTGGTCAGTCGGCCGGGTTGTCATTTGATTGGTCAGTCGGCCGGGTTGTCATTTGATTGGTCAGTCGGCCGCGCTGTCGGTTGATTGGTCAGTCGGCCGCGCTGTCAGTTGATTGGTCAGTCGGCCGGTCTGTCGGTTGATTGGTCAGTCGGCCGGTCTGTCGGTTGATTGGTCAGTCGGGCGGTTTGTCAGTTGATTGGTCAGTCGGCGGGGCTGTAGCAGCACGAGACTTTACAACTTAACACGCGGTGGGACTTGCGCGGGTACAGCGATGGCCTCTGCCTCTGTCCACCGCTGCTGCTGTTCGCCAGGCCGTGGCGCTGGGGGGGGGGGTAGCTCCTGCATGGTTTATTTCACTTCCTTACTTTTGATTTAAGATGCTTTCGTGCGTACTACAAGATTCATTTATTGATGCTAGCCCCTCCCCCGCCCTCCCCCGCACCCCTCTCGCCATCGTCATCACCAACGTCAATCGACATCGTCGTTATTATTAAACAATATCATTTATTACAACTCGGTTATAAGCTGTTGAACTTCTGCTTGGCAGTGGCACGAGAGGATGCGAGCGCGTGCGTGTTCCGTTGTTTGTGTTTACAAGTCGAGTTAATTCGCAGGCGTGACATTGACACAAAAAAGTTACCAGCAAGGCCCCCCCTCGAAGGCTTTCAAAATGCTTTGTATTGCCCCACACCACACAACCCCCCACCCACCCACCACCCCCAGCCCCTACAGAAAAAAAAACTAATTGAATGCTCCGAATTAAAAACAAACATATATGTGTGTGCGTGTGCGTGTCCGTATCTCGTGAGTCTGACCCCCCCCTCTCCTCCCCATTGAAGCAATGGAACGCCCCGACTTGAAAGGAGAAGCCGTCTGTCTCTCGGTTGGCCAGGTTATGGGGCAAACCATTGTGGGCAGAGGTGCCGGCGTGGGGGGGGGGGGAGATTTTAAAAACCCAGCCGCAGGAAATCCATTCGCTCCGCATCTCCAACTCAGTGGTACATCCCAAGTCTCTCTGCCTTGTAGTCCACACACGTTAACCCGCTTTATAGTTTCTACTGATTGTACTGTAGATGTCTGATGATATAATACTTTTTTTCTTTCCCCGAACTACTTAAATATTCGTACAATGTGTACCGTACATACATTTGATGCCAAATAAATTGTATTACATTTTACACTCCACCGACCCAACCCACGCCCCCCCCCTCCCCCCCCATATTCATAAATTAAGTCATTCATTAGTAAGCTGATTGCGCGCACAAATTAAATTCTGGACGGGTGGGTGGGCGGGGAGGGAGAAATAATGGATAGGAGGAATTTGAATCTTGAGATGCGCTCCCAGGCGGTGGTCGTGGTGGTGGTCATGCCGGATGAGAGATGGGGAATTAGATGTAGAGACGGGGGGGGGGGGGGGTCGCGTGTTGGAGGGGCGGGAGATCTTGGGGGGAGGGGCTGGGTCTGTGGGGGGGGGGGGGCTACATCCGAGGGGGTCACATTGGAGAAAGTGGTCCGTGGTGCTCGCCTTGTCGCTAAGGGGATGAGAGAGCGGGCGAGGGAGACCAGCCCCGGTTTAAAGTTCCAACGAACAGAGACGTCTGCAATTTATTACAGCAATAAATTAATCCTGTCGTCTTGTGTCACGAGGTGTGTTTGAGCTCAGTCTGTTCATCCACTGCTGGATGGGACCCCCCCCCCCCACTCGCACGTCGTGTTGGGTATCCGTGGGCTAGTTGGTGGGGGGGGGTCTTGTGACCATACTTCACCACGCTGGTCAGTGCCAGGTTTCGGGGTGACTGGCGGGGGGGGGGGGCCTAAGATCCGGATTCGGACGACGCCGGCGGCTGCTGCTGCTGCGAGAGTTCGTGGCGTGGTGCTAAGCGCTGCGCCACCGCTCCCCCGCACACATCGGCGCGTCCATGTGAAGAGGAGAGGTCTCGCGGCGTCGACAGAAGCGGCGGCAGCAAAAGATGAAACTCCTTGGAGGAAATGTGGAGCAAAGTTGAGACGGGGAGAGCCGCGGCTCTCATCAGTGACTTGCGCGAGGAGAGGGGGGGGCAGGAGGAGGCGGTGGGGGGGGGGAGTCCGCGGTGCTCTCGCGAGATTTCCGAACATTTTCCTCCGAGACCACCCCGAACGCCCCGACGCATCGTTGGATCGGGAATCTTCTTATCAGTTTGGTGGGTAGGGTAGTGGGGGTGGTAGGGGGCTAGGGGAGGCATGGGTAGGAGCGGGTGGGGTGGTTGGGGTAGCGGGGGGGGGTTCAGTGGCCACGTCCGAAGTGGGTGGTGTCGTCGCGCTCGCTGCTCCTGAAAGCGGCGAGTTTGTGGGGCTCCTGACGAGGGCGCGACGCGCCGCGGCCCACCCCTCACCCACCCCCCACACCCACCCCCTCACCCCCCTCGCCCACCCTTCACCCCCCCTCACCCACCCCACACCCACCTCACCCACCTCACCCACCCCTCACCCACTCCTCACCCACCCCTCACCCCCCTCGCCCACCCCTCACCCACCCCTCACCCCACACTCACCCCCCCCGCCCACCCTTCACCCCCCTCACCCCCCCTAACCCACCCCAGAACTCCCTCACCCCCCTCACCCACCCCTCACCCACCACCCCATACCCCCCCCTCACCCCCCGCTCACCCACCCCACACCCACCCCTCACCCACCACCCCACACCCGCCTTCTGCTTCACCGACCCGCACCGACCGGCGTGGTGAAGTATGGTCAACGCAGCCCCCCCCTCCCCCCCCCATATTCCAAGACCGGCAACTGAAACGGTTGCCACTGTCCCAGGTGAGCGCCTCCACTCGGATGTCGACTTGTGTTGCAGAAGCCACCTGCGCAAGGCGAATGGCGGCTCGGCCAAGTGGCTCATCGTGGTCGTCATCACGAGGACATTTCTAGCAGCCAAACACTCCAAACGCGTGGTGGTGGTGGTGATGCTGATGTTGATTATTAACGTGGAGTGGGAACACCGCAGGACCCGGAGACAAATCCACGACGAGAGAGAGAGACCGCAGACTCCAAATAAACAGCAGCAGCAGGCAGTCGTCAGGGTCGAGATCGAACCCACGACCTCCTGCATACCAGGCGAGGTAGTTAACATCCCCTAGCCACCGTGGGATCGAGCCCACGACCTCCTGCACACCAGGCGAGGTAGTTAACATCTAGCCACCGTGGGATCGAGCCCACGACCTCCTGCACACCAGGCGAGGTAGTTAACATCTAGCCACCGTGGGATCGAGCCCACGACCTCCTGCACACCAGGCGAGGTAGTTAACATCTAGCCACCGTGGCGCCCCTATGCGGTCGGCAGTTCGCGTGCGGCGGGGTGAAGTGTGGGAACTCTCCACCACTTCTCTTCCGACACGTGACACGCGTGTGTCACGTGTGTGTGTCTCAGTGGGTTCGCGTGTCTCTACGAGTCTGTGTGCGACTCATCTGCGAATGAATGATGGATTCACTCTGCGTGAGTAAGGGGGGTCGCTGTGTGAATGAGTGAAGGATTCACTCTGTGTGAGTGGAAGGGGGGTCACTGTGTGAATGAATGAAGGATTCACTGTGTGAGTGGAAGGGGGGTCACTGTGTGAATGAATGATGGATTCACTCTGAGTGAATGTTGAGATGACACCTCAGGCGGGGCCTTGCCGCGCGCCAAACACTCAGTGGTGACAACGGTTCAGGTCGTCGTCGTGATTATTATTTTTAATAATCGATTTTCTTCTCCCGAGGGTAGAATCGAGTTTCGGGCTGCAGCCTGCAAGAAAGCTCTCCACGCAACAGAATGTTGGACGGAGGGCATCGCTTTAGGGCTTCGAGGCAGATCTGTATGTGTGTTGAACTTCTTTCGCACCGTACGTGACCAGCCGTGCCCATCGGAGGTGTGGGGGTGGGGTGGGGGTGGTAATAAACGAAACACAACAAGTTCTAAAGAGATTAGTCTTCAATTTAGTATGGTGGTGTGGAGTATCGTAGTGCAGTGTGTAGTGTTTCAGTTTCATGTATTAGGTATAGCCCCGTGAGCCATTCGGCTCTTGACTCGGGTGCAACCGCAACAAACAAAAACACGAACAAGGAACATATTGAAGTGACTACACGCAAACAGAAAAGTCCAGGAAAAAACAGCAAAGTCTTCCAGAAAAAGCACCGCGTATCAACGATGTGTGCAAACATCCCAGTGGGATGCAAGTCAAACAATAACAACCATAAGACAATTTAGATTAAAGTTATCAGACTAACTCTGTACTACAACAAACAAATATGGCTAAACCAAAACGTTTTCGAAATCACCAAAATAAAGCTATAAAAGCAATGTAACAGTGATCATAGGAACTGTGATTGACATTTTACAATAAACGATATACATACCATGTAGTGTGTAATGTAGTGTATCGTCTCGAGCAGTGGTTCTTAAACTTTTACTTTCAGCCTTGCATCGCTTTGCTTCGCATTCGTGATTGTTTTTCGTTATGTTAATAACTACTTCGGGGTTTGATGAAACTAAATCAGTTGTGCTGAGTTTGTGTTTCTATGATTTACCTTCTCAAAGAAATCTGCCCACGTCTCGCACCCCCAAGGGGTGGCCTGCACCCCGGCTTAAGAACCACTGGCTCGTGTACAGCGTAGTGTATAGTGTAGTGCAGTGTATAGTGTAGCGCAGTGTATGTTGAACTTCTTTCGCACCGTACGTAGCCCGCTGTGCTAATCGGGGGTGCAGGTGGTGGTGAGGAAGGACGGAAACTAACAAAAGGCAGTTCGAGATTAATGAGATTTTCAGTCTCGATGATGATTTAAAAGTGCCACAGCTCCAGCACAGCAGCTGCTGCTGCTGCTGCTGCAACCTCGTGTCCCCCCCCCCCCCGCTGCCGCCTTGCAAGAGCAGCAACAGCCGCGTACGTAGTAACACCGAAGTCAGTACGACAAGATATTAATCTTTATTTTAGTAACGAATTAATGTTTACCATATGTATTATTGTTCAAACGTTTAACCGATACTCCCAATAAACCCCATTCGTGTACAGGGGCTCCTCTGCTTACGAACATTCGACTTACGAACTTTTAGAGATACGAACAAAACTGCCCATACGACCAGTTTGCCTGTTAGGACCGGGAGACGTAAGTTCAACCACCGCGCAATAGATGGCGGTGGTGGCATCGACATCTACAGAACGTGAAGAACCAGTGGCATCTACAGAACGTGAAGAACCAGTGGCATCTACATCTACAGAACGTGAAGAACCAGTGGCATCTACATCTGCAGAACGTGAAGAACCAGTGGCATCTACATCTACAGAACGTGAAGAACCAGTGGCATCTACATCTGCAGAACGTGAAGAACCAGTGGCATCTACATCTGCAGAACGTGAAGAACCAGTGGCATCTACATCTGCAGAACGTGAAGAACCAGCGGCATCTACATCTACAGAACGTGAATAACTCGTGGCATCTACATCTGCAGAACGTGAAGAACCAGTGGCATCTACATCTGCAGAACGTGAAGAACCAGTGGCATCTACATCTGCAGAACGTGAAGAACCAGTGGCATCTACAGCTACAGGAGATTATACAAATTTTAACGCCATTCCCCGTGTTTAGTGTACACGCCGTACAACACGTTTGGAATCGACAGGAGTAACGTTGGGCTTAGTAACAAATCGACTTAGAACAGACACCTCTGAAACCTAACTCGTTCGTCAGTAGAGGAGTCCCGGTATCTATTATGCTCACAAGTAATAACGACCGCTGCTGTCGGGACCCCCCCCCTCCCCCGTGCACGGCGGTGTCGCGAGACCCCTCCAGGAACGCATTGTCGAGCGCTAAACGAGGACTTGCCTGTATGGTGGTGCCTGGGCTCTAGGGTGGCTAGGAGATGTTAGCTACCTCGCTTGGTCTACAGGAGGTCGTGGGTGTCTCTCTCCCTGTAGAGATGTTAGCTTCCTCGCCTGGTATACAGGAGGTCGTTGCTGCGATCCCGACCCTGACGCCGGCTGTTGCTGTATATTTGGAGTTTGCGTGTGTCTCTCCCTGTAGAGATGTTAACTACCTCGCCTGGTCTACAGGAGGTCGTGGGTGCGATCCCGACCCTGACGCCTGCTGCTGTATATTTGGAGTTTGCGTGTCTCTCTCCCCGTGGTCGTGTGAATTTTTCTCCGGGTCCTCCGGTTTTTTCTCTCCACGTTTCGAATCGACAACATGACCACGGCGATTTGAGTATTTGGCTGCTGGGATAAACCTCCACGTGATGAACGACGACAAGCCGCCACCTCGTCTGGGCTACCTCGTCTGTGATGGCCAGCTCGCTTCCGTGGGGGCTGGCCTGGTAAAATAAAAAGTAAAAAATAGTTTAGTTTTCTATACTCTTTGGTTCTTTCGGTAAAGTCACGTAGGTATAAAATAAAACAAATCACGACGTTTCGGGCGCAGCACAAGCGTCCATTGTCAGGTGGGAAAGCGTGGCCGGAAACGTCGTGATTTCTTTTATTTTATACCCACGTGATTTTACCGAAAGAACCAAAGAGTTTGGATTCCTGCAGTCACGAAAGCTTCAGATCAAGTTAAGTTTTAGATTCGAGCTGAACCTCCCTCCCTCTCTCTGTCCGTCTCGTCTCACCGCGTCTCCTGCACCGAAGTCTCGGGCTCCACTTGCTGCCACCGCTGCCACCGCTGCTGAATCGTCGTACTTCTCCCGCACCTCCTGATTGGCACGGTTGGCTAAGTGCGGTGCGAAAGAAGTTCAACGTACGTGCCGCACTTTGCCGTTTGTTGTCGTACACCGCCATCTGCTGGCGAGGCGAGGGACACGCTCTCAACTCACAAACAAACGCTTTGGTTTCGATTTAAAGCTTTCGTGACTGCAGGGATTCATCTTCTTGGTTCTTTCGGTAAAGTCACGTAGAAGGGAAATAATAAAATAATAAAAATAAAACATAATAAAATACAATTCTCACGACGTTTCGGCCACAACGCAAGCAGCCGTCCTCAGGTGAAGAACAAGGCTGTCCGCAGGTGAAGACGCTGTCTTTCCGACAGCCCTGTTCTTCACCTGAGGACGGCTGCTTGCGTTGTGGCCGAAACGTCGTGAGAATTGTATTTTATTATGTTTTATTTTTATTATTTCCCTTCTACGTGACTTTACCGAGAGAACCAAGAAGATGAATCGCTTTGTTGTTCTCGTGCCACCAGGTGAGGCCCCCCCGCTGAGCTGCGAGGCAGCAGCTCTTTCTCAGAAGCGACCCTGGCGATCGCAAATGATGGCTCATCGTGAGCACCACGTGGACATGTAGAGTAGCAGCCACATACTCGAGACGCGTGGTGATGTCGATTCCAAATGTGGAGGGGAAAACCCCGAGACAAATCCCACGCGACCACGGAGAGAGAGAGAGACACCGCAAACTCCACATACACAGCAGCAGCAGCAGGCGTCAGGGTCGGGATTGAAGCCACGACCTCCTGTAGACCAGGCGAGGCAGTTAACATCTCTACAGGGAGAGAGAGAGAGAGACACGCAATCTCCAAATATACAGCAGCAGCAGGCGTCATCAGGGTCGGGATCGAACCCACGACCTCCTGTAGACCAGGCGAGGCAGTTAACATCTCTACAGGGAGAGAGACACGCAAACTACACACACAGCAGCAGCAGCAGCGGGAAGTCCCCAAGACGGACAAAGAGGAGGAGGGCGGCACGGCTCCAGATGGGCAGCAGGGAGAGAGGAGGGAATGAGGTGATGATCTTGGATAAAGAGAAGGTGGGGTGATGATGATGATGGGGGTGGTGGTGATGGGGGTGGTGGTGATGATGATGATGGGGGTGGTGGTGGTGATGAGGATGATGAGAGGGTGGTGCTGGTGGTGATGATGATGATGATGGGGGTGGTGGTGGTGGTTATGATGATGATGATGGGGGTGGTGGTGGTGGTGATGATGATGATGAGAGGGTGGTGCTGGTGGTGATGATGATGATGGGGGTGGTGGTGATGATGATGATGGGGGTGGTGGTGGTGGTGGTGATGATGATGATGGGGGTGGTGGTGGTGATGAGGATGATGAGAGGGTGGTGCTGGTGGTGATGATGATGGGGGTGGTGGTGGTGGTGATGATGATGATGATGGGGGTGGTGGTGGTGGTTATGATGATGATGGGGGTGGTGGTGGTGGTGATGAGGATGATGAGAGGGTGGTGCTGGTGGTGATGATGATGATGGGGGTGGTGGTGGTGGTGATGGTGATGATGATGGGGGTGGTGGTGATGATGATGATGGGGATGGTGGTGGTGGTGATGATGATGATGATGGGGGGGGTAGGCTGGGGTGGGGGGGGTAGGCTGGGGTGGGGGGGGGTAGGCTGGGGTGGGGGGGGGGGTAGGCTGGGGTGGGGGGGGGGGGTAGGCTGGGGTGGGGGGGGGGTAGGCTGGGGTGGGGGGGGGTAGGCTGGGGTGGGGGGGGGGTAGGCTGGGGTGGGGGGGGGGTAGGCTGGGGTGGGGGGGGGGTAGGCTGGGGTGGGGGGGGGGGGTAGGCTGGGGTGGGGGGGGGGGGTAGGCTGGGGTGGGGGGGGGGGTAGGCTGGGGTGGGGGGGGGGTAGGCTGGGGTGGGGGGGGGGGTAGGCTGGGGTGGGGGGGGGTAGGTTGGGGTGGGGGGGGGTAGGCTGGGGTGGGGGGGGGGATAGGCTGGGGTGGGGGGGATAGGCTGGGGTGGGGGGATAGGCTGGGGTGGGGGGATAGGCTGGGCTGGGGGGGATAGGCTGGGGTGGGGGGGATAGGCTGGGCTGGGGGGGATAGGCTGGGGTGGGGGGGATAGGCTGGGGTGGGGGGGGATAGGCTGGGGTGGGGGGGGGATAGGCTGGGGTGGGGGGGGATAGGCTGGGGTGGGGGGGGATAGGCTGGGGTGGGGGGGATAGGCTGGGGTGGGGGGGATAGGCTGGGGTGGGGGGGGATAGGCTGGGGTGGGGGGGGATAGGCTGGGGTGGGGGGGGATAGGCTGGGGTGGGGGGGGATAGGCTGGGGTGGGGGGATAGGCTGGGGTGGGGGGGGATAGGCTGGGGTGGGTGGGACGGAGCGCACAGCCCCCCCCCCCCCACGGCTACACGACGACCCGCACGCCACCGGCCCCCGCGCGGCGCCGTCTCGGCGAGGCGACGCCGCAGCAGCTGAGACGCCTCCGCAGGGGCGCGTGTCCCAGCGCCAGGATGAGGGGGCACACGGCGAGGAACGTGGAGGCGGAGAAGCGCGCCACGGCCAGCAGCGCGCCCGCGAGGGGCCCCTCGCGCTGCCCGCCGAAGTTGTAGAAGTTCACGGCGAGGATGTGCGAGCCCCACGAGGCCACGAAGGAGCCGACGAGCGCCAGCACCAGCCTCGTGGCGCGAACCTCCGCAGCCAGCCCGGGGGTGGCCGAGACCACGACGCCGCTGGTGAAGCCACCGCTGACGACGCCGCTGGTGACGACGCTGCCGGCGTGCGGCACCCGCCCGGCGGCGCCGGCGGTGGAAGCCCCCGCGGGGTCATCGTCGCCGCCGTGGGTCCCGCTGGCCGCGTGGCCTCGTGCCGCCTCGGCAGGCCCCGGCTGGCCGCAGGGCGATGGCCCCGTGGGGCGGTCCGTGGCGAGGGCCCGGGGGCCTCCGGTCTGTGGGGGGGGGGGGGGTATTCCAAAAAATCAATCGGTTTCATCACAAAGTTTGATGTCCTCGGATGTGAACGAATGTGAACGACGCCTCGATGCGTGTTCGCGCTCTCGGGTGGCATCAAGTCCCCACGTTCAGCAGCAACATGGCAAGTGTCGCTCCTCGCAGTGCACAGCTTGACATCGCACAGCAGCCCCTTGACACGTGTATTAGTATTATTAGTATTAGTTGTATTAGTATTATTAGTGTGAGTATTATTAGTAGTATTAGTAGTATTATTGGTATTATTAGTAGTATTATTATTAGTATTAGTAGTATTATTACTATTATTAGTAGTAGTATTATTAGTATTAGTAGTATTAGTAATATTATTAGTATTAGTAGTAGTATTATTAGTAGTAGTGTAATGCGGTTGTAAACGGCCCTTCTGAGGTGCCGTCAGGGGGGGAGGAGTTAGGTCACGTGGGGGGAGAGGGGTTGAGTATAGAAGGAGGGGAACCGGAAGAGCAGGGGGAGTGACGGGGAACCAGGAACAGAGGAAGGCCACGAAGGGCGAAGCGGGGTGTGGCGAGATCGCCACGAACACGGGGGGAGCGAGGATCGGCACCGTTGGCCAGCGGTGACCGACCCGAAGCAGCGAGGAGGCTGCAGTCAGCAGCGGGGCTGCACAGAGAGGGTGGGCAGCGGGTCTGCATACAGTGACAGCCAGAGGGTCTGCACATAGGGGTAGCAGCGGGAGTCTGCACATAGGGGTAGCAGCGAGTCTGCAGGGAGGAGGTTACAGTAGATGAAGCAGAGAGTCAGAGGGGTGAGGAAGCTATAATAGCAGTGAATAGCCGGGGGCTACAAATACAGGAGTTATAACAGAGTGCCGTGTGGGTAAAGACGTGAACCTGAATAAAGACACGAAGACAGAAAGAAGTGTTCGAGTCTTTTTATTACACTGGTGTCAGAAGTGAAACGGCATGGCGAAACAACTGAGGAAGAAGAATATCCCATCTCCGGCGTCGGCTTCATCATCGGACGACGACGATCTTCCTCCTGAGGTCGGCTTCACTTCGGCGGAGGGAGAGATCCGTGAGGGCCCGGGTGTGGAGGAGGTTGCCGCTGCGCCCGACCCATCTGCGTTGAAGGACGAAGATTTAAGATGGACCCGGATGGCGGAGCAACTGGCGACCCTAAAAACCGTCATCACGGAGTTGTGTGACCTTGTCACGCCAAGGGCGGCGTTGGAAGGTGATGGTGGTGATCGGCAGGAGCCCGGGTCGTCTTCGATGGCGCCGCCATCGACCACGCGGCGTGAAGACGCCATCTTGGGCGTGGCGCACCACGGAAGGCGGGAAGCCGCCATCTTGGGGCCGCCACGAAGATCGTCCGCCATCTTGGCGACACCGCGTTGCGACGCCTTGCTGAACTTGCCGCCGGAAGAGTCGGTGACGGACGGAAGCAGGCCAAGGAGCCGCAGTCGTCACCTTACAACTGTTAAGGAGTTCTCCATCGGGGGCGATTGGAGTGCGTTCGCTTGTCGATTTTTGGCGGCGGTACGAACGGCAAGGTGGACGGACGCCGAGGCGCTGGAGGTGCTTCCGACTCTCCTTGACGATGAGTCTGTTCGTTTTTTTCGCTCTATAAAAGCTGCGAAGAAGAAAACATTGCGTGGAGTGTTCGACGAAATGGCGGACGCGTACGAGCCACCGGATGACGCCCATCGCCGCTTCGTGCAGCGGCAACGCGCACCGGAGGAGTCGCCTGTAGCGTACAGGGGCGCCGTGCTGGAACTCGCGATGGCCGCTTACCCGGAGACGGAGCCTGACCTGCTGGAACCTCTCATCTTGGGGAAGATGTTGGAGTTATCCCGGGATCTGGGCATTCCTATGCCGGCTTGCGGTCACGAGAAACTCACGTCCCGGACCGCGGCTAAGTGTTTGGACGCCCAGTTCAATCTCCGCCGCTGGAAACAAGTCACGGCGTGGACGGGCGGTCCTGTCGTCGATGGGGGGGCCGTAGGGTGGGACCCTACAAAGGCCGTGTACGTGCCGGATGCGACCGGCCCAAAGGAGCTCTCGGCCGCCTCCACTCCGTGGCCGGCTCGAAGCGAGCCGGGGCCGCGGGCTCCGCCGCCGGCGCGGCCACGTCGGGACGGGGTGCCTGCTGCGCGCCGACCCGACGTCGACTGTTTCCGCTGCGGCCGTCGGGGCCACTATGCCAGGGACTGCTGGGCCCGGGTTCCGGGGCCGCCCCAGCAGGAGGCCTCGATCGCGGACATCCCAAAGAAAGACTCTCCGGCACAGGCAAGTCGGTGCGCACCAGACACCCGGCAAGGCCTGACACCTCACTCATCGCCGTTGTTGTGCGACGCGGATGTTCTAAAATATGGGAGGCCAGTATCTGCGCCTTGTCGCTCGATAACGCAGTGGCGTAAGTTGGCTCGGCGGGTTGTCGCGGCCGCTACAGGTTCGTCCACTGTACCGGGGTCGATCCAAGGGGTGGACGTGCGTATTTTGGTGGATTCCGGGGCGTCCGCGACCATTATTTCGGATGTCATATTCCATCTTTTGAACATCCCACCGGGGGCCGTGAGGCCGGCTTACGCTTCCTGCATCGCTGCGAACGGGGGTAGTATGGGCATCGTGGGACAGGTGGACGATAATATTTCTATCGGGGGGGTCTCGGCCTCGGGCGTTGTGTTAATTTCGAGGTCCCTGGCGGTTCCTTGCTTGTTGGGCACGGATTTTTTGGCTAAGATGCCCATTTTAATTAGAATCAATGAAAATTGCATTGAACTGCCAGGGGGCCGCAAATTGGCGTTTTTACAGTCCACCTGGGGGCGACCGGCTCCGGTTGCCCAGGTGCAGGCGTTATCGGAAGTTTCAGTTGATATTCCACCTGGCTCGCAGATGCTCATTCCCCTACGATACCGGAAGCCGGTTCCGGGTCGGCAGAGTGCTTGTGGAATTTTGCTGTCGCCGTCCGCCGCTATTACGGGCGGATTGGCACTGGTTGGGGCGCAAACCATTGTCCGTCCGGATCAGCGCCCGTTTTTGCAGGTGTTAAATGCGACTTCTGAAAGCGTGTGTGTGCCGGCTGGTACCGTTGTGGCACACGCCACTACGGCGTTTACGGCTCAGAGTGACATTCCGGACGGGGGGCTGGTGGGTGGTGTTTCACACGACGGAGGGGTGGACGATCGTTGGATCGCCGAATTATGTGCGGAAAATTCGGCCCTTTCCGCTGAGCAGCGTTGTGCGATTCATAAATTATTAGCGAGCTATTCCGATGTGTTTAGCTCGGACGATTTGGACTTGGGACGCACCTCGCTGCTCTCTCATCACATCGAAACGGGGGACGCGGCCCCTATCCGCTTGAACTCGCGTCGGATGAGTCCGGCTGAGCGTGAGCACGTTCGAGGGGCAGTGGAAGACATGTTGAAAGCGGATATTATATCTCCGTCTAATAGCCCGTGGGGTGCGCCTGTCGTGTTGGTTAAAAAGAAAGATGGTAAATTACGATTTTGTGTGGATTTTCGGAAGTTAAATAAAGTGTCGGTGGCAGATGCGTATCCCCTGCCGCGTATGGACGATTCTCTCGACGCCTTGTCAGGGGCTAAGTTTTTTTCAACGCTAGATCTCTCTTCGGGCTTCTGGCAGCTTCCCCTTGACGAGCCCTCGCGGGAAAAGACAGCGTTCCGTACGCCGCAGGGGTTGTTCCAATTTAACTGTCTGCCGATGGGGTTGAATGCAGCCCCTGCCACCTTTCAGAGATTGATGGAGTTGGTATTGACGGGGTTGCAGTGGGAGACATGTCTCATTTATTTAGATGATATTATTGTCTTCAGCCGCACATTTGATGAGCATTTATTGCGGTTGGAGGCCGTTTTTGCCAGAATGCGTTCTGCTAATTTGAAATTCAAGCCTAAGAAATGTCATCTACTGCAACGTTCCGTTCGATACTTGGGACATATTGTTAGTGCGGACGGGGTGGCCACGGATCCAGAGAAAACTGCGTGTGTCCGGGATTGGGCAACCCCCGCCACGGTGGGTGATGTGCGTCGGTTTTTGGGGTTCGCCTCATATTACCGGAGGTTTGTTCCGAATTTCGCTACTATCGCCAGGCCTTTGCATCTCCTTACTGGGAAGGGGCACAAATTTGTGTGGGGACCGCCGGAGGAGGCGGCGTTTCGGAGCCTGCGCGACCTACTGGCTACTGCGCCGACGTTGGATTATCCGGATTTTGAACATCCCTTCATTCTGGATACTGATGCGAGTGACACCGGGATTGGGGCGGTGTTGTCCCAGTCAAAAGGTGGTGTTGAGCGTGTGGTGGCGTACGGGAGTCGGGTTTTGTCTCCCGCGGAAACTCGTTACTGCGTCACTCGCAGGGAACTTTTGGCTATTGTGTATTTTCTCCGCCAATTTCGACCGTATCTGTACGGTCGGTCGTTTATTGTCCGAACGGACCATGCGGCCTTGCAGTACGCTCTTAAGATGGACCAGCCATCCGGACAATTGGCGAGATGGCTGGACACGTTGCAAGAATTCTCCTTCCAAATTCACCATCGGAAGGGTGTGCGTCACGCTAACGCGGACGCACTGTCCAGGTTGCCGCAACAATCCCCTTGTGCGTGTGCGTCGGGGACGCATAGGTGTGGACCGGCTCAGCCCCCCCCTCAACCTGTCGCGCGGGCAGTGGATGTTCTCGAACCTCCGCTTACACCGGGACCGGTTGAAGGGGGACCGGCTGACGGGATTTTGCGTCTTCCAAGGTCTGTGTGGATTCGGGAGCAAATGTTGGACGATTCTTTGGTGTCGTTACGGAAACGAACGGAGAAGGCGGGTAAGGAAGTCGGTGCGGGTGGTAATTCGGAAACTGCTCTCTGAGATGGGTTACTGATGTGGAGGGAAGGGATACAGGAACACTGGCGTCTCGTTGTGCCTGCGTCATTGCGCTATGAGCTGATTAGATCCTTGCACTGTGACACACTTTTACACCTGGGGGTGCAGAAAACCCTATTGACGCTGCAACGAGACTATTATTGGCACGGCATGACGACGGATGTCGTCGGTCACGTTCGCGCGTGTCCCGATTGTGCCCGCCGTAAGCCGCCTAAACATCCATATGTTCCGCCGATACAATCGATTAAAGTATCTCGGGTTAATGAGTTGGTGGCGTTAGATATTTTGGGACCCTTTCCGCCATCAGCTAAAGGGAATAAGTATTTACTGGTGGGGGTGGAGTACCTCTCTCGCTGGCCGATGGCCTGGCCCTTGCCTGACCAGTCAGCGGCGTCTATCACGGACGCCTTTCTATTTGGGTATGTAATGGACAAAGGGGCTCCGGAGAGGCTCCTTACGGATCAGGGACGTAACTTTTCGTCTAAATTGTTGGGGGAGGTGTGTGCGGCTCTTGGAACTAAAAAGATACGGACGTCCCCCTACCACCCGCAAACGGATGGTATGGTGGAACGGTTTGAATCGGACTCTGTCCGCCATGCTGTGCCATACAGTCGGGGAAAACCAATCTGATTGGGATTTGCATATCCCTGGGGTGCTTTCGGCGTATCGCATGACGCCGCACGCGGCTACTGGATACTCGCCGTTTTTCCTTATGTACGGCCGTGAGAACGTGCCGCCGATTCATGACCAGTTGGGAACCGGTGCGAGGGGGCCTGTTAAGCCTCTTCCTGAGTATATTAAGGACAACGTTCGGCGTGTCGCTGAGGCGAGGGAAAATGCCCGCATGGCTACTGCCAAGGCTCAGGCCAGGAATGAGCGGTGTGCCCGACGTTCAAAGGGGGAGTGTCCCTGGAAAAAGGGGGACCTGGCCTGGCTTCATTGCCCACAGGTGCGGCCAGGTACATCTCCTAAATTACATCGACCTTGGCAGGGTCCGGTCCGCCTCATTGAGGTTCCCAACCCACAGTCGGCGCGTGTTCAGGTTGGTGCACGGCGTTGGTTCGTGCACACGTCCCGGTTGAAGCCATACATTGCCCCACGGCCGGATGCGTCATCTCCCCAAGTTGCCTTGCCGGGGTCTGTTGCTGCCGACTCGCCCTTGCCTGTGTCTGCTGACCTTGCGAGAGCGCCTGTCGGACCCTTCACAGACAAGCCGGCCGTGACAGCGCAGGGAGGAGGACCTTCCGCTTGTGGGACGCCGACCGGAGCCGCAGAACCCACGGGACCTGCAGCTCTTCCTATCCCTCCGCGGACGCGAGTACGGGATGTTTCTGGACGCGAGCGGGACAGTGGCGGGCCTCCAATGGCGACGGAAGAACTTGCGCCCGTCGCCCCTAAAACCCTTCCACGTTCCCGCTCGGCGGGTGGGCCGCCGACCGTCCGGGACGGCCCGGCTACCCGTACTCGCTCGAAATCCCTCACGTTTCGTTAGATTGTGTTGTGTTGTGTTATTGTTATAATGTTCTTCAATGCTTCGTGTCTTTTTGCGTGTTGGCCCTTTACACCCGCATTGCTTTTCAGGTTGCAATTCAGCCGAGGTCGGCTGGATTTTCTTTAGGGGGGAGGGTGATGTAATGCGGTTGTAAACGGCCCTTCTGAGGTGCCGTCAGGGGGGGAGGAGTTAGGTCACGTGGGGGGAGAGGGGTTGAGTATAGAAGGAGGGGAACCGGAAGAGCAGGGGGAGTGACGGGGAACCAGGAACAGAGGAAGGCCACGAAGGGCGAAGCGGGGTGTGGCGAGATCGCCACGAACACGGGGGGAGCGAGGATCGGCACCGTTGGCCAGCGGTGACCGACCCGAAGCAGCGAGGAGGCTGCAGTCAGCAGCGGGGCTGCACAGAGAGGGTGGGCAGCGGGTCTGCATACAGTGACAGCCAGAGGGTCTGCACATAGGGGTAGCAGCGGGACTCTGCACATAGGGGTAGCAGCGAGTCTGCAGGGAGGAGGTTACAGTAGATGAAGCAGAGAGTCAGAGGGGTGAGGAAGCTATAATAGCAGTGAATAGCCGGGGGCTACAAATACAGGAGTTATAACAGAGTGCCGTGTGGGTAAAGACGTGAACCTGAATAAAGACACGAAGACAGAAAGAAGTGTTCGAGTCCTTTTATTACAGTAGTATTATTAGTATTAGTAGTATTATTACTAGTATTATTAGTAGTATTATTACTAGTATTAGTAGTATTATTAGTAGTAGTATTAGTATTATTAGTAGTATTATTAGTGGGAGTATTATTAGTAGTATTAGTATTATTAGTATTAATAGTAGTAGTATTAGTATTATTAATAGTATTACTAGTATTAGTAGTAGTATTATTAGTAGTATTAGTAGTATTATTAGTATAAGTAGTATTATTAGTATTAGTAGTAGTATTATTAGTATTAGTAGTATTAGTAGTCTTATTAGTAGTATTAGTAGTATTATTAGTAGCATTATTAGTAGTATTAGTAGTGTAGGGCTTGAGTATAGCGCGCCACGCATCCCCCACCTCTGTTGCTATGCGAGCAAGCACAGTACATTGGGGTGATGTGAGGTAATGGTTGTTGTTGTGGCTTTAGGCGACGTGGGTCGTTAAGGGTTGAAACAGGTGTCAGGGCAGCCGGGAGGACACAGGCCAGTGATTGGCTAGGAAGGTAATTGGGCATTAGCTGGCGTCGCTCTGGCGGCGAAAACAAGGCCACGTGACACGGGGGGGCAGGGGGCGAGCGATAAGCGGGGGTAGAGATAATTAGGGAGATTAATTGGTGTGGGGATATAAGCCAGAGCGCAACGGAGAGAAGGGAGTCCTGTACGAGTCGGCGTCGTGGATGGAGCTGCAGCAACGGTGCCCGGGGAGTCGCAGAGCAAGTGATAGTAGAGTAAGCATGGAAAGACAGTGTGAGTAGAGTAAAGCGTAGAGAGACAGTGTCAGTAGAGTAAAGCACGGAGAGACAGTGGTAGCGAGAACGCAGTGAACAACCAGGGTAGCCATGCATCGGAAGGATGCAGAGTAGGAGAAACCATAGAGACGACAAGCGTAGCGATAGTGAGGTAGAGAGACGCGGAGCGACGCGGAGTGAGGGCACGGAGAGACGCGGAGCGGTGGCGCAGCAGAGAGAGACGCGGAGCGGAGCGAGGCCGCGCCGAGACGCGGAGCGGTGGCGCAGCAGAGAGACGCGGAGCGGAGCGAGGCCGCGCTGAGACGCGGAGCGGTGGCGCAGCAGAGAGAGACGCGGAGCGGAGCGAGGCCGCGCTGAGACGCGGAGCGGTGGCGCAGCAGAGAGACGCGGAGCGGAGCGAGGCCGCGCCGAGACGTGGAGCGGTGGCGCAGCAGAGAGAGACGCGGAGCGGAGCAAGGCCGCGCTGAGACGCGGAGCGGTGGTGCAGCAGAGAGACGCGGAGCGGAGCGAGGCCGCGCCGAGACGCGGAGCGGTGGCGCAGCAGAGAGAGACGCGGAGCGGAGCAAGGCCGCGCTGAGACGCGGAGCGGTGGCGCAGCAGAGAGAGACGCGGAGCGGAGCGAGGCCGCGCTGAGACGCAGAGCGGTGGTGCAGCAGAGAGATGCGGAGCGGAGCGAGGCCGCGCCGAGACGCGGAGCGGTGGCGCAGCAGAGAGAGACGCGGAGCGGAGCAAGGCCGCGCTGAGACGCGGAGCGGTGGCGCAGCAGAGAGACGCGGAGCGGAGCGAGGCCGCGCTGAGACGCGGAGCGGTGGTGCAGTAGAGAGACGCGGAGCGGAGCGAGGCCGCGCCGAGACGTGGAGCGGTGGCGCGGCGAAGGTGGACTCTAAGAGGAAAATAAAGAGGAGAGAAAGACAACCCTTGTACGAGTCCTACAGTAGTATTATTAGTAGAAGTATTAGTAGTATTATTATTAGTATTATTAGTATTCGTAGTATAATTATTAGTATTAGTAGTATTATTAGTAGTATTATTAGTAGTAGTATTAGTATCATAATTGCCCATAGCCCGAATTCGTGCCCGCTGTGTTTACAGAATTCCTGCGCCGATTCCTCGTCCCAGTCGGTCACTGCGCCTCGGTCACTGATCTACGTCGTCGCCGTCGTCGTCGTTGATGATGTTGATGATGTTGTTGATGATGATGAACGGTCGGGTTGGGCGAGGAGGCGGTGGTGGTGGTGGCGGTGATCGTGGTGGTGGTCGTGGTGGTGGTGGTGGTGGTAGTGATGATGGTGGTCGTGGTGGTGGCGATCTTGGTGGTAGTGGTGGTCAAAGTGTTGGTGATTGTGGTGGTAGTCGTGGTGGTGGTGATCGTGGTGGTGGTCGTGATGATGGTGGTGGTCGTGGTGGTCACGGTGTTGGTGGTCGTGGTGGTGGCGATCGTGGTGGTAGTGGTGGTTAAACTGTTGGTGTTCGTGGTGGTCGTCGTGGTGGTGGTAGTGATCGTGGTGGTGGTGGTAGTGGTGGTTAAAGTGTTGGTGATCGTGGTGGTGGTGTCAGTGATCGTGGTGGTAGTGATCGTGGTGGTAGTGGTGGTTAAACTGTTGATGATCGTGGTGGTGGTGGTAGTGGTGGTGATCGTGGTGGTGGTGGTTGCTGCTGTGTTGTCTCAACGCGTACACTGCCACCAACATCTGAAGCCGGCGGCTCGCCGATGACTTCCGAGCCCGGCTCGCGGACGCCCCCCGCGGGGTCATGGGCAGCCCCAGAGTCCGAGCCATCGTAGACTCCGTCGTAGACTCCGTCGTAGACGCCGTCGTGGACGCCGTCGTGGACGCCGTCGTGGACTCCGTCGTAGACTCGGCACGAACCATCCTCCTCGGGCGTCTCGCGGCCCCACGGGGCCGTCGCCCTCGAGTCTGGGCGCTGCCCCTGCCCCGGAGCCAACCCCGCCGCACCTCGAGCCAGAGGGCCCACGGCGGCCCCGCCTCCGGGCTGCTGCCCCTGCTGCTGCCCCTGCTCCTGCTGCCCCTGCTGCTGCCCCTGCTTCCGTTCCGCCGCGAAGCGCCTGAGCGCCATGAGGCTGGCGGCGTTGGTGACCACCATGAGCACGATGGGCACCACCTCGTGGACCACCAGGGAGGCCATGACGAACACGAAGCCGGCCCCTTGGCCGCCCGGCCCGAAGTCCCAGACGCAGCCGAGGAGCGGCCGCGTGGTGCTGCTGATGAGCATGAGGTTGCCACCCTGCGCCGTGCTCAGCCTCTTGGCCGTGGTGAAGAAGAGGCCCGGCACCGCGTAGGCCGCGTTGAGGCCCCAGACGAGAGCCAGGGAGGCTTTGACGGCGCAGCGCTCCGGGTCGCCGCCGGCGCCGCGGACGCCCATGGAGTTGAGGCGTGGGCCCTGGGAGACGCGGCGCCCGAGGCGAATCATCTTGAACATCTGGGCAGGGAGAGAGGGCGCAGTGGGGGAGATGGGCATAGTAAAAGCAAACCGATTAACGGATGGCTACCCACTCACCCGCCTGTCCACCCACTCGACCACCCACTCACCCACCTGCCCACTCACTCGACCACCCACTCACCCACCTCTCCACCCACTCACCCACCTGCCCACCCACTCGACCATCCACTCACCCACCTGTGTACTCACTCGACCACCCACTCACCCACCTGCCCACTCACTCGACCACCCACTCACCCACCTGTCCACCCACTCGACCACCCACTCACCCACCTGCCCACTCACTCGACCACCCACTCACCCACCTGTCCACCCACTCACCCACTTGCCCACCCACTCGACCACCCACTCACCCACCTGTGCACTCACTCGACCATCCACTCACCCACCTATCCACTCACCACCTGACCACCTAATTGACCACCCACTTATCCATTTGTCTTCTCACCGACCACCCACTCACGTACTCATCTACCAACCCACTCACCTACCCCCTCACCTACCCACTCACCCACCCACTCGCTTACCCACTCACCTACCCACTCACCTACTCACTCACCTACCCACTCACCTACCCACTCACCCACCCACTCACCTACCCACTCACCCACCTACTCACTCACCCACCCACTCACCTACCCACTCACCTACACACTCACCTACCCACTCACCTACCCACCCACTCACCTACCCACTCACCTACCCACTCACCCACCCACTCACCTACCCACCCACTCACCCACCCACTCACCTACACACTCACCTCCCCACTCACCTACCCACTCACCTACCCACTCACCCACCTACTCACTCACCCACCCACTCACCTACCCACCCACCCACTCACCCTGTAGGCGCAGGGCGCCAGGCAGCTCCACGTGTTGACGCAGCGTGCCAGCGTCCACACGCTCATGAGCACTCGGCAGGCGCCCGGCCCCAGCTGGGGATCGAACCCGGCGTCTGCGGCGAGCAGCAGCGTGTTGCGCGTCACCCCCAGGAGCGCGTTGCTCGCCATCAGATTCCCGATGAGCAGCCCCCAGGGAGGGAGGCGGGCGACGCGAGACCGCAGCAGCGCGGGACACCCGCAGACGAGGTGGAGACAACCACCACCACCACAACCACCGCAATCACAGCCACGGCGACGACGGTGGCGGCTGTCGACGTTCCGTGCGGCGCCTCGCCCAGACGCGGGCGCCTCGGTGGGAGAGCCGAGCAGCAGGAGGAGGAGGACGACGACGTTCCCCACGATGCCCATCGCCACGATCAGCGCGTAGAGGGCCACCTGCGCCGGGTGCTCGGCCATGGCTG